AAATTAATTTACATATTGTCAGTGTAAAGTCTTAAATGAGGTTCAATATTTAAAATAGAGTTATATTTAATGAAAGTGTCTTAATAACTATATAAAAAGAAAATAAAAACATTTAAACATATTTTCTGTTATAAGTACAAAGATCTATACATTCATGCCTGAAACATAGCATTAAGTGGAAACATGAACAACTTAGTTCACTTTATATTAAATTTTTGTTATATCTTATTGTTAAAGACAAAATTAGTTGGACAGTTTTAATGCTAAATATAAGACATGAATGTACCGTATCTAACAATACTATATGTTATTAAATACTTTGACATAAATTACTTTAAATACTAATACTCAAAATATACATTTGTGCTACTTTAAGCTGCATACAGATCAAGTACTACTGACATAGTAAAAGATTTCTGCATCAGTTGAAACTTTTTCTTTATAATTAAATAATAAATACATCTCATCACAAAATTTATAAAGATACAATTTTTAATACAGAATAATTATTAATTCCCCTAAGATAACAATTCAACTTCAGCTTGTATGTTTTGACGTGCTTGTTCTTCATATTTTTCCCGAAATTCTTTAGAAGCAAAAATATTTGGTATTTGCACAAAATTCTGCAGGACCTAATTTAAAAGAAAATACATATAAAAAACATATAAAAAAAAATATATATATATATATCAATACAATTCAATTCATTCTGAAATTGTACTATTATTACATTACCTTCAAACGTAAAGCAGTATACATTGGCTCACTCAGAAAAGAATATTCTCCACGAATCTTCTCTCTATATTCTGCATAACTTTCTGGAGAAGAACCCAACACAGCCATGTCTAAGTCTAAAAAGTAATGAGCATCTTCACCACCAAAGGCACCTCCAATTTTATGAGCATCTGTACTATGCGTTGCAGCTACTTTAAGAAGTTCATTAGCCTCTTCTCTTAACTCTGCATCCTACATATACATAAAAATTAAATTATTATTCTTATATTTCATAACTTAGTCTTGACAAATATTATTACAATATTACAAAACGATAGTTACAACAGCTATTCCAGCTTCATCTGCAAATGTATTAAAATGCTCTAAATTCTTATTTTCACCATCTAAAGCTTTGGGATCATATTCAAAGCTGTAACAAAATTAAAATGTATATTGTACTAGTCATTTACTTTATTTTATGAAATACTTACTTTTGAAAGAATAAGGCAAGAAGCACAGCTTGAGGATTTTTTAAATTATCTTTGATCTCATAGTAACAATTTAACTTCTCTCGTAGAGAATCTAGATTATGATAGGTACGTTTTTCTTCAGAATAGGCTTCCTGTAATTTCATGAACCATGTATCACAGACTTCGCTATTTAAAGATTCAGTTGCTTCTTTCCAACTTTCTTCTATTGATGCCATTTTCTTCTAAAATAAAATTAAAATGTAATAGGCTTCTTAAACATTTTTTGAAATTGAATCTTTTACTATAGTAAATATATATTTGAAATTTTAATAAGAATATAATAAAACTCGTGTTTTTAATTAAAAGAAATAATGATTACTATTATAAGAAAGAAAGAAAAATGTTAAGAGCCATGAATAAAGTTTTTTTTAATTTAAATATACTCACGGTATATTAAATAAGTCAAACAATGTGATAGTTTAACTTAGAGGTGAAAAGCAAGAAACTGTGCTTCGCAGAAAATTTTGATTACCGATACATAATGTTTCGTTGCGGGTGTCTACTGACTGAATGAATTCTACTTGATAAAATAAAGTCTGCTTCCACTTATTGATCGAATTGTGTTCGCGTTTTATCAGCGAAATACAGAGTGTCTTGTAATTACGTATGTAGTACTTTATATATAAAATGATACATTCAAACCTTTTTTTTAATCTATAAGATTATAAAAGCGTTGAAATTTAAATAAAATACGAAATTTTAGTTTTTACTTGTGCAAAATCACTTATAACAAATTGTATTAAATTCGCACCTGGTTGGTAACCCTTGAGATGCTGTTGGGCTTCCCCGCGACACCGCGAAATATAGGATAGACTGGACATGCAATAAAATTTTTGTCCCATGGCCGAGGGGTTTTGTGACCCTCTTACCATTCCCAAATCATTATGTTTAGTAAGCAAATGTTCTATATTTATTAATTATATTCTCATTATGTTGCTTCGAAACTAGAATGCAATCTTTCAATGAAAAAATGTCATAAGTGACAATCAACAATTCTACCATGAGATTCGATACATATGCTACGTGCATGATATGTGTTTTTACTTGCAAAGAAAACTCTTTACGTTTTTCGATTTTGCCAATTTCAATTATCAATTCGAATATAATTTTTAAATTCACTACTTTTAATCGTAAGGAGCATATCAAAACGTCTGTTTTTTTATACAATCGGTATTTCAGACTACTGGACACGAAATCCCATAAGATGTCCAGTCTACCCTATTTCTCGTCGGTGTCCTCAAGTATCCCACAAGGGATGATAACCATAGATAGATATAATCACATAATATTATCATGATCTCTTCTGTTATTTCACGTATAAAGATCATGTTATGAGAATATTATTATAATATTAATATCTTTTACTCTATAGTTGTATGTGTTTGAAATTTACCGCTTGAGCGAAAGAGTATCGTCCCTTTATCACGCGAATGTGTGTGTGTGTGTGTTTACAAGATATGAAAATATCTTATCTAGTTAAAAGTATTTTGTCAATTTTCTTGTGATTGCAGATTGAATATCCTTGCAAAATTATGAATTAAAATATATGGATTATTGTAATAAATGTATATCAAAAGTATTATAATTCAGAAATAGTTATTCCATAAATAAACCATAGCTTAACCTTAAAGATAAATCAAATGATGCAAATTTATACAATAATAAAATTCATAATATTATATGACATAACAAAGTAATCATTTTAGCAAAAATGAAAGGTATAGTAACAATATTAACCTTTTTGTCTTATAAATAAAATACATTTGACTTTAAAAAAACAGATAATAATGAAAATATATGTATATCAATTATTTCTTCCTTGTTATTCTTTAGAATTTTAAAATAGCATTTAAAGATATACATCTTCTTTTTATAGTTACAGATAAAAGAGTAGACCAAAGTATTATTACATTATTTTATATTCTTATTATTGGACCTTCTTCCATTGTATTATTTTTGTATGGATTTTTCCCTTTAACAAATTATGATAACACAATAGCGACTGAGAATGATATTCCAAAATATATAGAAAATGTGAGGTAAGTTGTAAAACCATTAGAGGATAAAGAAATCAATATATTTATATTGAATAATCACTTTGACGATATTAAATAAATCTTGTAGAATAAAAGTAGAAACATTGTATCAACCAATGGTAAAAAGAGTGATCATAATGGTTATTGATGCTTTGAGGTGGGATTTTATAACAGGATCAATTGGAAAAGTGGCTATGCCTATAACAAGTAGTCTTATAGCAAATTCTTCAGCATGTTTGTTTCAAACTAAAGTACATTCACCAACTGTTACAATGCCACGAATAAAGGTACCATACTTTCAATGAGATAATTTTATTTTCATATTTTCATTATATATTCATTATGTGTGTATAGGCAATAACAACTGGTGTAATTCCTAATTTTATTGATGTGGTTTTAAATTTTGGGAGTAAACCAGTTACTAGTGATAATATACTGCTTCAAGTAACAAAATATGGCTACAAATCAGTATTTTACGGGGATGAAACTTGGCTTATGTTGTTTCCCTCTATATTTAAACGTTATGATGGTACTACATCGTTTGTTGTAACAGATTTTACAGAGGTATTGTGAATGAATTTTTTATTATATTGGCAAGTATATATAGTATTATATAATTCATTTAAGATTACAAATTTAGGTTGACAACAATATAACTAGACATTTACATAAAGAATTATATGACAATACTGACTGGTCTGTAATGATTCTTCATTACTTGGGACTTGATCATATTGGTCATGTTCATGGGCCATTTAGTCCACTGATTAAAACAAAACTTAATGAAATGGATACAGTAATTAGAAAAATTCAAACAAAGATCAAAGAATGGGTATGTGTAATAATTTTGATTCAATACTTTTTTAAACACAGAACAGTAGTTTAATATATTTAAAAGAGAGAAAAACAATTATAATATATTTTCTATACTTTTAAAAATAGTGTAAACTTGTTATCTTCAGAATCAAAATAATGATTCTTCTTTGTTTATTATCTGCGGAGATCATGGAATGAAAGATTCTGGAGGACATGGTGGCTCGACAATATCAGAAACAATTGTGCCTTTCATTGCAATTGGTGCTGATTGTATGCAAAATGAAAATCATTTTACTAAAATAGATCAAGTGGATATTGCATCTACATTGTCTACAGTTCTGGGTATTCCAATACCACACTGTAATTTAGGAAGTGTATTTTCGGATTCTTTATACAATTTGTCCACATCAAAGAAATTGTATATACTGTATTATAATGCCAAGCAAGTGTTCAATCATTTTCAGAAATTGATGGACTATCAGTCGGAATGTAAGTAAAAAATTTACTTATACATTTATATTTTTTACCATCTCGTAATATGTTGCATATTCTCATAGATGCATATAAAAAATATATAGAAGCAATAAAACTTCATTCTGCGTGGTTGAATACTAAGGATCATCCAAATGACATGACAGATGATATTACAACTTCCTATAAGACTGCACTTAAGGGAATGAAAGAACTTCTTATAAATAATATGATAAAATATGACTTCCATATAATAACAGTGGCCATATTTTTTTTAAGTCATGTAAGGAATTAAATTTTATAACATGATGTACATCTTAAACCGGGGCTGTTCAGCAAAGCACAAACCTATCTCTCTAACATATAAGTCCATTTCTTCCCCTTTGTGGTAGCTGTCCATAGCTTTGCCTCCACTTCTGACCACAGTCATACAGATCCTGATTTTGGTCCTTGAGAAGGCCTGCTAAACAACCCCTTGATGATTTAAAATTTAAATATATATATGATAATTATTTTTTAATCATTATTTCAGATAATTTGCATCTTATTAAGAAATAATACTTACACATTAAGTAGTCCAAAAAGTACCATTTTATTGATTATTTTAAATATAGTTCTTTGGATAGCAGTAAATCATTTTTGGAACTTTGAAGACACATCGTTACTCTTTTCGAAAAATTTAATTAGCTTTCTAATAGTATTATTTATAATCAGTACTTTGGTTATCAATTGTTGCTTACTTGCCAATAGTAATTATACTAACTTTTTCATGCTTAAGGTAAGCAATTTAGAACATAAGATACACTGGGCCATCAATTTACATGGTAAAATAGAACACTATTTACATTTACATATTATTATATGATTTTATAAATATTTAACTCAATTAGAACAGGGAATATGAAATTAGAAGGTGGTTGTTTCCCCTTGGTACAGTTATACATGCGATAAGTCTTGGCAGCAGCAGTTTTGTTGAAGAAGAACATCAAACTTGGTATTTCCTCTGGGTTACATTTCTTGCACTGTTACTTTACAATTCTGCTGCGAAATTATATGCGCGTTTAGGATTGTAAGTCAGTTTTATTGTTATACGAAGAATTACATTATATATGGTGCTTTATCATACATGTTGGCTGATATTTACAAATTTATTAATACTATCAACATGACGAAGCTTAGCAAAGTATGATGAAACGCCCTGTGAAGCAGTTTTAAAATTTAAATATTAAAGTCCAATTTATATTTCCAGAAACTACAAACAGTATTCATTTGCGGAGACTTGTATAAAAATTCTATTACTACTGATAGGACATAGAATTCTTAGAAAATTAAACAGTACTGGAGATAAATATGCTCATCTTCCAGACATAGCAGGATTCTTGGTAGAACAAGAAAGTATGTTGGGAATGACAGTTATACTTATTATTGGTAATTATATAATAATACATTCTTATAAAACTATTTCACTACAAACACAGGTTTAGATATTTTTACTTATTTTCTTAGCCCTTATACTTCTTATATGGCTTGATTTTACACATGAAGAGGGAAAGTATAAAAAACAATCTTTAATAATTAATGTAATCATGGGTATGTGTATTTACTTTCGTCATATGCACAACAATAGTGTCAACAAATTACCATTATATCCTCAATCTAGGTAAATTTCCTTTTTATATTGAAAATTGGTATAATTATTTCACGAAATCATATAAAATCTTATTTTTGCAGGAGATTATACGAAGTACAAATCTTCTGGGTATTACTAGCAATTAACTTTTTTAATTATATTTATCGTTTAGTGTTAACCATTCAATACAATCAGGTAATATTTTTAAAAACAACATTATATTTCATTGTACGAATGTGGATCATGATATCAGCAATGATACATCAGCCACATAATGTGATTCTTTTGCCATTACAAATAATTTTTAGTAATGTAATTCGCGCGATACTGCAGAACAATAATATTCAACAAATAAATGTGTTTGTGTACGTATGGATGGGCAACGTATTTTATTTTTATCAGGTAAAATTATATACGAACATTTCAATATCATTGTTAATGATATTAAACTGAAGTTAATAAAGTAAAATTACATTCCTTTAGGGAAATTCAAATAGTCTGGCAACCATTGATGTGGCCGCTGGTTATGTTGGTATACAATCGTATATACCACTTGTTAATGGATCATTATTAATAATTAATACCTATTCTGCGTCCGTTTTGGCGTGTCTTTTGCTAATTCACCAAGTACTATCACAATATTCATATAAGTAAGTATTATCAGGATCTTAATCATCAAAATTTGTTCTATTATAACTATTCGCTATAAAATTGCTTTCTTTTCTTCTAGTTCTTGCGAGATTATTATGCAAATAAGTAAAACGTACATTACTTGTAAATTATTACCACTAGCTGTGTATACAATTATAATCAGCATCCAACGGCATCATTTATTTATATGGTCGGTATTTTCGCCGAAATTATTGTATGAAGCTGTACATTTCTTTGTTATTTGCATTATAATATTTATCATATTAATTTTGATTATGCTACAAAAAATAATAAATAACTGTAATAGATGATGCAATATTTTTTATTTTTTTTTAATCGAAGTGTCATACGCGAGATATAAAAATATAAAAATGAGAATAAAAATATGCAATTAGTACCAAGGATAATTTTATTTTAAACTTCCAAATTTCTTCACAATCATTTACATTTAACTCGATTCACCAATCACTTCTATAAAAATCGATCATAAAAAGAATTAGTAATACAGATAAAACAGTAACTTTATAGAAATTCATTCTTTACAATTGAAATTATTTGTTCAGATTGTAAATGATCTGTATAAGTTTACATTTTAACTATACATAGCTGTGTAATAAACAGTGTACACAATAAAATTAAAATACATTATCATATAAAAACATTTTTGTATAATTGTACAAACAGAATGCAGTTCAAATAAAATCAGAGACAAAATTCTATCACATATTATATAAATAATAAAATACGCCGAAACATTACATTATTTATTTTTTTCTATAGTGACTTATTTTAAATTTTCATTTCTCTTTCATTTACATTATAATTATATATTACAGTGACTTACAAGCCACTTATTAAAAAGTACAAATGTAAAATAATGATTACTAACCACGCAACGTAATATCTAAAAGTACACATAAAAAAATTTGTTAAAGCAGGACGATAGTTCGGTTTCTAAAAATAAATTACTTTCTATAGGAACACGACAAAACGAAAAAAGTATACCCGTTCACATTCACTGTAAATAATATAAAATTGATTAACTTTAAATATCAGCAATTATTATAATGGTTTATGTGCTACTCTTTGTATAAATGTTGCTACTGTACATAATAAATACTAAATTAAAATGTTCAAAATACAAATTAATAATACATAATTATTATTAAATAAACTTCGAATCCATATGTTTTAAAATATAAAATTTGCTTAAATAAATATTTTTTCTTCGACCTAAGATTACCTTTTCATAAAATTTTGAAAGCATTGAATAGTAACAACTCAAAAGTTCAATATATGACAGTTTATAAGCTCGAAATAGTATATGCTAATGTTTCTCAGCACATTAACCCTTAAAATGTAAAATATTATATTCGTATTATACAAAAATAGAAATATTTTGATATTCATTTATCGAATTATGAAAACAATTCTACGTGATTTAAAAGTATCTCATATTGAGTGTTAATATAATTAGTTTGCGAGGCTGTAAAGATTCCCGCGATTTAATTAATTTTCAAATAGATTTTTAAAACACTTTCAAAGTGTCAAATAGTTTTGTAACTATCCAAATAAATGTATACATTTTACTGTCATATTATATAAATAAACTTTCTATTCTTCTATAAAATGGATAGATGTTCAGCATGAACGCATTTGCGACAAATAAAAAATAAATTAATGGTTTAGACGACGTTCGCAGCGTAATACAGCGGCGGTATTATGTGACATTTGAATACTCCATTCGATTGTTTCACCTGTTGTGTCGGGACTTTTCACTTCATTCAATAATTATTAATATCTCTAAAACGGTGAATTCATACCGAGCTTTGTACCAAATTCTAATCGAGCTCTTTTTTGATACCTTACATTCACTCTGAAAAAAATTTGCATCCAATAAAACTATGTGTTTCACAATACTCGCTTTAAACGGAGATATACTTACTTAATTTCTTGCCATTTAATTAACTCATTAATCAGGAAAATGAGTGGTAAAGACATTAAGAAAAATAAAGGGAGGTGAACAGGAAAATCTTCGATCTTTACACCCTCCTCCTTCCAAAATGTGCAAAATACAGTCCCTGAGAATGCTGCTTGTGCGCACAATCTACGAAGGTAATATCAACTAAATTGGTTATATTAAGTACTCACTAGGGAAAAATGATAATTATATTTACGCTATAAATGCACTTAGAAACCACACAAAATTGTTGAAAGGTTGTTTCCTCCAAATAGAATACTCTCTATGTACAAAGCCTATAGATATCGTTACTGCGAACAAATACTAAATATATTATCAGAACACAATCAAAGTCTTCCACCTATGAAGTAATAAAATATAAAACTTACCTAAATGTAAAACTAATAATGACAAAGCGAAATGCTGCACCACTAAAATGATGTTTGGTTTGGCACCCCATCCACCCCAAGAAACCTCTCCCCGTGACTCGGGATATACATAAAGACACTTGGAATCCGTGGTTGTGTAAATAGGGCACAAAGTTAAAAACGAAATACACTGCGATAAAACTATAGTTATAATTGTTGGTACAAACTTGCTACCATAACACCAAAGAACGAACAATGCAATCTGTGAAAGAAAAGAGATATAGTGCATCTAAAACTAAAGCTAAGTAAAAATTGTAAGCACTCACCTGTCCATTTATGGTGCATTGATTCTTGCCTGTAGCACGTTGCATTATGGTAGGATCTTTTGGTGTGGCGATCATGGATATTGATAACATTGGAATGATTAAACAACTCAACCATAACACTTGATCAACAGAGAATAATGGTGGTAGCAATAGGAAACTAGACAACGCTTGAGTGAAGGAGAGAGTAACTGTACAACAGAGCCAGAATTGCACACAATTCCAAAGGCACTTCATGTAATGACGAGCCTAAAAATATGACAAATTATATGCTACTTTGTAGATTTTCTCAGTAAAATTAACATTGTAATATCCATTATTTTTACTGGAGTATTTCCATGTTCAATACATCAAACTACTATTAAAAATAGACAAAGTTTGAAGACTTAGCACAAAGTATTTAATGCACAATATTCTACCTCCATAATCAAATGGAATATCGCGATTGGATCTTCACGTTTGACGCTTAACGAACAAGCAATCGAATTTAATGCTCTGCTTATGTCAACAGGAGATGGGCCTTGCTCTTCTCTCGTCGGGGTTAATACAGGAACCCTCTGACAAACTTGTGGGTATAATGGTTCTACTGCCACTCTAAAATCAGTTTATTTATTAATATTATTCTATCACTGAACATAGCGCCGAACAATTGAATAACATCAAGCACATGCTGTTTGTTAATTTCTTTCAGTTAACCAAATTTTTTATAATTTCTCTTCCTACAAAGTTAAATAATTATAAAGATGGTTTATGTTACTGAGATTTCCCAATGTAAACCAAGAAATTTGGAGAGCCCGCCACGTCTAATATTTCATGATAATACTTTGTTGTACCTACAACCGGCTAAGAGACGTCCTATAACATATAGATCTTCTAAAAAACCAACTATTAAAATTGAGTCAGATACAACATATGGAAAGTCTTATGTGAAATTCGATTGTGTTCCCAGACAACGATTTAATTATGGGTATCGTAACAAAGTATTGTCTAAAATCACCGAGAAAATGGATTTTGATACTGTATATAAACTATCCTATCAAGTTTCACAAGGAAAAGTACCGGAGCCTTTCCTCCCAAGATCACGTTTATCCATAGAAGGATTGCAAGACATGACAACTACTCATATGACATCTTATATGGATCCTGGATATGCAAAAGTGAAACTCTATAAACCATACCAAGGAAAATGTGTTCATCCTGTTCCAATGGAATATGAAACAATAACTAAAGAATCTTATCAAAAGTTTACTAAGCCTATTACCATTAAAAGACCAAAAAAGACAATATTTTGGCAAACAAAATCAAAAACGGATTACCAGACAACGAATCAGTTATCTTATCAATATACAGGGTCTATTCCTAAAAGGATTCACGTGATGCCTACACGGCCGAGTATTACTGCTCAAATAGAAAAGGACACTACTTTTAAGACTAGTTATATGATTCCAGGTCGTCTCGTAACCAAGGAAAACGTGTAATTTGTGAATAATATTGTATTTTGTATGTAATATATTTTATATTTTAATTTCAACCTGCATTGATTTTAATAAATGTAATAATTTTTAATAATAATAAAATAATCGTTTTAATAATACTAAAAAATTGAGCGCTTACCCAGCATCCGCTTGCATAAAAATAGGCATGTTCTCTGCATTTGCCGAAGAACCCAGAACGCAAACCACTTCTCCGTAATCTTGCATAATATGCAACATTTCTCTTGTAACAGCAGTGTTGCAGTCAGTGAACAAGGATACCAACAAAGGTACATTGTCTATTAGCTCTAAATGTGGTCGAATCTTATCGATACCCCGTGGTAATTTTGCCTATAATAGTAGCAGAATAAATTTGAACTCTGTGCTTTTGTCAATCCGAATTATCTTGAATAAAAAAACTTACCCTGTTCGATAAATCGAAATTCACAGGAGCACTTTGCTCTGTACTATCTGTAAGACAACTCAGGGATCGCCATGCTTCTTGACCAGATCCTAGATCTACGCTTTGCACTAGTACACTATCTTCGCTTCTTACCGTATCTTGTTCTCTATTAAAAAAGTATTTTATTCTTTAATATTACATACTTATTCTTTGTTCTATATTATTCGAAAAAAATGAAACACAGCACAAAAAAAGTAATTTCAAGTAGTAATTAATCCATTAAAAAAAATATATCAATGGAAGGAATTTAGTCTACCATGAAAAGAAATGGGAAGAACAGAAAATAATTACGAAAAGTGTGACGATCCAGTTCTCGCGATCCTTTGTACTAGGTGATTTAGACTGGCATGCAAATTCAAAATAATGTTATAACATTCAGTATTTCAAGATCACAGTCACATGACATAACACGAAACGAACCTGTGGCTCATAGCACTCTTCACTTGAGATAATCCTGTGTCGTTCCACTCTGTGGTCTCGTCGTCAAATTTCACAGTGGAGAAGTCTGTGTTTATGGCACTGGGCGCGGACATGCTCATGGCACGGCTAGTGTCCAAATTGGTGCTATAATGTAAAGTAAATCAGACAATAGAGAAACGATTCGTTCATGTTTCATTCATGCAAGATAATTTTTAGAACACAAACACATCAATGCAGCATATGTATGCAGCAGAAATGTATGAATGCATGCTCTTAACTTTTGAGTCAGCAAATGTTTTATTTAAATATTGTATCGAGAAGCAAAAGCACGATTTTTAATTGATAATAGTTACATTTATTAAGTTAAAAAATGAATGTTTTCAGTGTTTATGTGTGATAAGAGGGTAATATGTAACATACCGAGGAGAGACACGATTAAGCAAGTGGCTGGCCTCATCCATGCAGGAGTAATTATGCTGATGAGATTGGGCCGAGGGAGTGGGTGAGGACATGGCTGCTGCCTGGCTCACCCACCAACCCACTGGACTCTCGGACCTAATATTGGTGTGTTAGTTACATACAATTTATTTGTGTATTTTATGTATGTCATGATATAATATGAGATATTAACACATGTGCATGGTATAACTGGAAATGTACAAGAATAAATGTTGTTTAAGATTGTATCCGCCAATGAATAAGCCATTAAACTCTATAAAAGTGATTACCAGTTACTACTGGTGTAAATCAATGTAACTTAACGCTCTAACATAAATGTAATTATAATATACAAAAGGACTTGTAAGAAAGAATACTCGAATTCACTAAGGTACATATCAATTGAAAGATTAGAGGGAAAAAAGTCAAATCATTGCATTCAAAGAACTGTAAATTTCTATAGAAATAATATTCACGAGAAAAATATTATTACAGAGCGTAACGAATAATCATGCAAATTAGTAACAGTAATGAAAGAAAGAGGTATAGACAAACATATACGATGGGGTCATGTGTGGATATCTCTCCAGCCATTGCTGTCTCCTGTAATGTACATGCATATTTTACATTCACATTCATAGTTATGACAAATAGCTAGTTAAACAAGTTCATATCAAACAGCACCATTTATTTTAGACTTACAACAGATTAGATAAACGACATTAAAAAATGATAATTAATTGACGAATAAAAAAAAAAGTAAATTGTAACACCAGCGACGTATACAATTAGTGTAATACTTAGTGTTGAATGTTTTTGTATACAGACTTTACAACATATAGAATATAACATATTTATACTCTCCAATGTGAGGACATGCCCCAAACTTTTCATATTAATCCAAAAGCAAAAGAGAGCGAAGCCAAATAATTTGTAAAGTTATTAATTAACAATAGAAAAATAGAATATAGTACCTAGCTCTCTCACTGAGCAACGAAATATGACAGTTCCATCCACTTTCCAGTCCCATCTTCTCCGAAAACACCCGAGATCGTAATTCGTTCTCTTTGCTGAAGTGAACGAAACGTATGCAAGCTCTGTCAAGTTGTTCGATTAATTGTACCTACAGTACAAATCATGTATTTTTCACACAATTATCAACTAATACATTGTTCGATAATTAAATACCTTACCATGTCTGTTTGTGCTTGATATTGCATAGTGACCATTCCAATAAAGACTTGATTACATTGAATTTCGAAACAACTTTCGACGTCACTTATGTTATCATCCTTATTTTCATTGCATAGTAAAGAATCTATAAAAATTTACGTAAAAATTGTTTATTGTTTATTATATGTATTATATAGTCTTAAAAATGATATATTTGAGGTACTTACCAGTTGAATGAAATTGTCCTAGAATACCTTTTACTCTGGGATCAAGAACGTTTCTAAAGTCCCAAGGTAATGGAGTGGGACTTCTATGAGGTGTATACAAATGTTTGCTGTCTGCAGGAAGCTCTAAATATATTTTGGACATTTTATTGCTAATACCACGTGTTAATGGTCTATATGCAAATGCAGTGCAATATGATGTTAAGCTTGTCCTTTGATAAAAATCTTGCACCTTTTTTCTAAAATATACGTGAAACAATTGTTTACATTTAAAAGTTTATGTATTTTAGAAGGAATTACTATCTTTGTGTACCTATCAGATGCAGAAAGTGGACAGAGATCATGACCATCCCAAAACTCAATACACGAATCCAAAATTATGTCTGCTGTACCTTGTGTTAATAATTGTAAACCACCTCCACTGCGTTCTTTAACTACCACGGCGACCATATGCGGAAAAGGAAATTTTAACTTCGTTGCAATACTTAAAGATCTTGCAAATTTTATATCGCGACGAACCATTTCTGGTTGCTAAAATATGATTAGTAAAATTTACAATTAAAATACTATATAATAATAGTGCAACTTAAATAACATATGATGCTTACAACATGCCTAAACGTGGACAACTGTTGTTCTAATTGGAATATATTTTGGGCCTGCTCTTGGAAACCTATCTGCTTCGCTAATTCACATAGGCACCTATATTTATCATACAATAAACTTTAGTAAATAGTAATTCATTCTAATGAAAGAAAGAACAGTACAGAAGTATGAAAATGTCCCATGATTAGCATTCATATGATTTATATGCAATATGATTGGAGTTCCATTCACCGATACAGTTTAACTATAAATATGGAGGATACATAAAATAACTATGGTTGGACTGACCACATCTGTCCAAGGCTCCCTGATTCGTCCACTAAATACACCTGTCTTGAACTTTGTATTGTATCTTTCGCTTGATACCCACTCTTATCTTCTATACTGTGATCCTGGTAGCTGACAAATGTGTATGATCAACGTTACTGGTAACTGGAAATGTTACCTTTGGACTGTCTTAGGAATATGAGTATGATATAAACTGGACATAATTAGCTTGATAATTGGAAGAATTAGTTTGAATTATGTATACAAACAAAGGAGGAAATGCAGTGCAATAAAGCGTATTAATGAAACACGGTAACCTGAACGAATGAAACACATACCGTCTGTTTGTAACCGGTACAAGATTCTCATTATAGAGAGCTTCACAAGTGACATGGCAACAAAACTGCATATAATGTTCTTGTGTTTGCATGTTACAAGTGTTGAGTAGAATTGCTAGACCTAGTGGTTTTAACGAATTCAAATGCTGTCTCCAAGCATGATCGTCAAATTGTAGACGAAATGGCAAAGCATGATCATGGGTAAGATCCAAAACTTCAGCTGTTGAATGAGACATGTCTGAAAATAATTTTTCATTTAACACCAAATTATACCTTTAATGAAATTCTATAGATAATATTTTCTTCATTTTATATTACCATGTTGAACATAAGATGTTTTATTTGAATACTGTTTAGAATCTTCAGTTTGAGTTTGGCATTGATGTTCAGATGTTTTATCTAAACTACCAGTGCTGTAATATAATAAAGAATTGATTAATGTGTTTTACTATTAATCCTTTGGTGTCTTGAGATAATGTACTTATTTACCTTGAAGATGGAGATAAAGTATTGGCATTCCGTAAGAAAAATACTTTCTCTGCTGTTGGATTAGGCCACGAAAGAATTCCTTTTTTATCCACGCAACACAATGCCTGAAAATTTTTTATTTTACTTCTATTATCTGTATTGTTTGATAAACTCTTCGGTAAGCATGTTAACTCGTATTATATTTAAAGTACCGTTACTGATCCTAAAACGTGTAAGATACTTGCAGATCTTGACATCATATGCTCCTTACCAAAAAGAATATTGAAAAAATATTCTTTAAGTTCCAGCCAATTATATACTACTTCTGGATAACTTGGACCAGAGATATCTGTATCCTCGAAAGGATCAACAAACTAAAATCATTAAGATAAATATCATGAAGTATAGGGCTACTCGATCAGCATTGTTTTAAAAGTATATTAACCTGCAGTTTCTTTGATGACTGATAAAGTTTGAATAAAGCTTTAAATCTTGCCATTCCAAAACAATTCAGAAAAATCCAACAGATCGGGAATACTAATGGAAGTAAAGGAATGCTAATAGCAATTGGTTGTAGCAAGAACATTTCATTCCAATGACCAACACCAAAATATTCAGACAAATATGAATATCGGAACAAATTTACAATTAATACAATAATTAGAAGAATTGGATAGGCAAGTTGTTCAATGCAACATATCATTAAAAGGTGTCGTTTGCGATTATGATATGTGACTGGTCTGTCAAGAGCTTGATCAAGGGCCATTCTGAGATTCATCAAATACGGGGTTTCTTGAAGTTTATAAATTTTATTTTTTAATGGTGCTCGTGCCTGTGGCGTTGAGAAAATTTCATTTGCACTATGAACTTGTGGACTATATACTTCTCTTACATGCAACACTGGTGCTTCCGTATCCTAAAATTATATTTATTATTAGTATTTATTTTATTGTATAAAACAGACTACTTTGTCAACACGCTAAACTTACCTCATAAGGAACACAGTAGCCAGGTGCTTGTTGCCCAGGTTTCATTACAATTATGTCTCCGGCAACTAATAATGCCCATGGCAAATTTACTATATGACCATCTCGATAAGTCCATTGCAAAGTTAAACAAGGAGACAAGGGACTACATAAATGTGGGTAATTTTCAGAAACCCATTGGCAAGAATGTTTTGCGACTAAAATATAGAAAATACACTGAAATACACAAATATTAATGTTACAGAATTCATTGTTCACAAGTATAAATATACCTTCTAGTTGATCAATAAGTATTCGTACTCTATGAGGAATTTCTTTATGTCGTAATTTGTTATCTGATACAACTAAAATAAAATTTAAGACTATTAAACAACAGACTGTCAGTCCTTCGTAAGGCAGTGTAAGGTACCTATAATTATGTAAAAAGTGGTTACAAGATGATTTTTAAACTTTGTTTAAGTCATAATTTACATGATTTTTAAACTTATAATTAACAATTTTATTTATTTCTAACTTTCTTTATATTTTAAGAAATATAATTGCAAAATTTAGCTATAAGCATTATTGTATTTATATAATGTTATTATAATTTAATATATGTATCATTAAACTGTTGAATTCATACCATGTCTCGTTGACTGTGAAGAATGCGATAACAAGAATAATGGCATTGATCAAAAGTGCGATTGCTGAAGTCCAACAAAGAGTTGTATACTGACTACGATGATGTAAAGTATCCTTTAGCCAAGCTTTATATTTTCTGCGCATAACATATACATTATATACAACAATAAATATAATATTTTTATTTCTTCAACATGAAAATAAGAAATAAATAACAATATTACTTGTTTCTTCTGCAATCTTCTTCATATTCTTGCAAAACTCTTTTAATGTCACGTTGTAATGTTTCAAGAGCAATTCTGGTTGTCAGTCCTAATGATTCTGTGAATTTATTGTTTGTATTTTCACTTGTTTTGGAACTGTGGTCCTTTGCTTGATCACCAACCATTTTCTATACCATAAAGTTATTAAATTCTTTTTATATTTTACTATGTAATAGAAAATCACATTCAATGTTTTGTGTATGTTCATAACTGTTGCACTTGGGTGAAATACAAATGTGTCTACAAAACTTATGATTTTCTGTTTATTCTCTTTAGCATTCTTTATGAGTGTCATTGAAGAAAGAACATTTTTTAATAAGAAATATAACTGGTAATATACATTTGTTGGTTTTATTAAGTAAAAACGATAGAAACTAAGTGATTTTTAATTACTTGTTAGCTAACTACTAATAATTTTTGAATTTTGTGATATGTTTCAAAGAATCATTAAAACATGCAAAATAAACAAAAACTGTGGATAGAAAGAATGGTCTTCAAAAACGTATTCTTTCCATGTTTAATTTATGTATGAAGGACATGCATCTTCACTGATATATATGTATCTTCGAAATTACAGTCAAGCAACATGGGTTTGTGATTTATGCACATCATGACTCATGTCATAAGAAAATATCTAACCAAAATATAAGTCAACAAAAAGGAAGCATTATTTTATACTTTTCATATGGCAGAAATAGGTTGAGGAAACTGAAATAAATAAGGAGAAAACGATGCAAATATAATTTATTAATACAGCCATTTTTAAAGGATAGAAGCAGGAATGTTCTTCAAAACAAACGGAGCGAGGTTAAAATGCATTAACACTTGCATAAGTTAATAAACGGATTTAGTGTACCGTTTATAGCTGTCACGTCCAAAGTGCACTTTAATTTTTCAATATAAATTCATGTATTGAATAATTAAAAATAATGGGAGAAGTCTCATAATTGCAAATGACCTGAATCAGAATGAAGAATGCATATTCGACTAGTTCACATCACATACATTTTATCACATGACGCAGTGCTGACGACTGAAATGTGCGCGTAGTGTCTTATGGTTTTTGTGTTATAATTTTATTACATGAATGATTATTATTTGAAACTTTTATAGAAAATTTTTGTGCATCACAATGCATAAGAATAACAAACAAAAAATACTGGAGTGTATGCATTCAGGTTCACAGTATATTATTTAATATAAAGGGTATAACCTCTCAACAATGGATTTACTGTACACTGTAAATAGAAAAGTGACATCGAAACCTTTTTTAAATCAAGAAAGGTATGTTTAATTATTACTATTAATAACATGTATTAATTATTATTAATATATTATATTTTGTTATTACTTAAACATGATACGTTTCCTATTGCCATTACTAGTTGTAAATAAAAAATGTTTTCTATTTAATTAAATATATATGAATATCAATATTTCTAAATTGTTTTTAAATGTATCTAATATAATTCAATTTAATTATAGTAATGTGTTTTATAAACAATGTTTTTAAAGTTTTTTAATGCTTTCATAGTAATCCAATTTTTAGCCTGTATGAAGGACAATCTATATGCTCGTTATCTAGTCGAAATATAGCAGCATTTACTACAACCACAGAATTAGATGATAATAGTGGAAAAACATGGGGATCCCATGTTTATGTTTGCGATTTAAATATGCCTTGGCATACTCACAAGTATGGAAAAATTTTAATACAGTTATCCAATTATTTTCTAATTATTCTTTTATATTAATCAAAGCTATTATATATGTTTAGATTATTATCAAATAAAGATACTATTACTGCATTAGAATGGGATTTGCCAGGTGATAAATTAGTTGTTGCTGATTCCACTGGAACTGTACAATTATGGATGTTTAAAGATCACGTTCTTAATGATTGGGTTTTAATTGGTTCCACATATTTCATTGGAGAACAGATATTAGGTGCAATATGGTTTCATAATGGGAAAAAGGTATTGGAAATTAATATATAGGGTTGCCCATAATTAGCAGTTGATGATATAATTAACAAAAATAGGATTCTATATCTACAACAAATGTTTTTGTAATTTCGATTTCATATACTAAATTCATAGAATATAATAATTTCAGACGGGGCTTGTAACTGAGAAAAAAGATAGCATTCATTATAGTGAGAAATTTAATCACTTATCTTTTGCTCCTTCTGTAAGACAATTTGGTGGTAGAGCAGCTGAAGGAGTATTAGTAGTATCAACAACAGGCATGGTTGGCGCAGTTATGATTACAAGAGATTTTCAAAACCCTATTCGTTCTTCAGCAGAAAGTTTAGGCACTACAAGGCATAGGATAACTGCAGTGGACTTATGTTATGGAAAAAGTACATACACTAGTATACTTTATGCTAATGAAAGTAATTTTACAGAAAAATCTGTAAATTAAAATAAAATTTGATGAACTTTTAGATGGATATATTTTAGTAGCTGTAAGCAGTGGAAATATTTGTTTACCAATTAGATGTTATAGGGTATTAGTTCGTAAAAACGACGATAAATGTTCTATTACATCACAAGCTTTGCCAAGCTTTTTTCTACAAGATGGAGCACCCAAAGACAATACATGTAAAGTCTTTAATTTCATTTATAACTTGTATATAATTTTTAGCAATTGTACAATTGAAATTAATAGAATTCTCTTCTCAGATACAAGTGTGACACACTTGAAATTCGTAGTTCGGGAAGATGCAGATTCCTTAGTTATTGCTGTTAATAGTGATAGTGGAGGTATTGTAGAAGTATGGGAATTGAGAGAAAAATCACAACCAGTTCATAAGTTATTTCAGCCAAATACATTAGAACCATTTAAAACTGTAGTGGTAGGTATTTAAGCAGAATGAATCGTAAACCTGAGGTACATTTAACATTGAATATTTAATGGTGTATTTCTTATATACACATTTATAGGTATGGCAACATCAATCACAGTATCGTTGTCAATCTCCAATAACAGCGATAGCAACTACAAAATTATCAATTGTTACCACATTACCACCACCAAGTTACGTTGTAGTGGCTTTGGCAGATTCATCGGTGCATTGTTTAAGCCGTGATTGTTTGAAAGAAATATCTCTTTCATCTTTAAATATTGCTTGGCGACCTGATGAACCGAATAATAAATATTTCAAAAGTACAATTTCTATAGCAAGCATAGATTTATCATGGCTGGGTTGTGTTCTGTTGGCTTGTGATACACGGGGAAATTTATATTTATATAAACTCCTCCCTGATGGAGGTGAGTTTTACAAACTTACACCAAGAAAGTTGGTTCTAAAATGGGAAATTGAAATGATAATAATTATTATCAAAAAGTTTTTTATTTAGATAAAATTACTGGAAATTTATTATGTAGTATAAACATATATTTCAGTTTCAGTTTCTATTTTTACTACCTGCTTCAGAATAAGGCTAGAAAACTTTTAATTATCTTCAATCTTTTTTTCAGGACCATCGATAACATTATCTTATGCTTGTACACTCTTAGAATACTGTTTAGTAACTGGATTAGATTGGTTAGATATACTTTTATGTTTAAGATCTTCTATGATTGAACCATTATGTGAAAGATTGGATGTATCTTTCAATAGACAATTACAGCCCATACAGCAGTATCATTATATTCAATTCCTTTGTATCAAGACGTCATTATATAGGTTTTACATTATTTTAAAAATTATCTATTTTATTTATTGAAAATTTTAAAAGATCATGATCATAAAAAAATTTTACTTCCAGAATGTTAGTGTCAGGACAAAGTAAAGCCGCGGATTTATCATCGTTACTTATGATACATTCAGTAGCAACAGCTTTTAAATCATTATTACGACCGTCTGATTTAATTTCTCACGATAAGGGACCAGCAGAGAGTTTAGCAGCAGTTATTAATGATGCAATTACTGATGTAGATAAGGTATACATCAAGCTTATACATTCAGTAATGCTTATAGCATCAACATGTATTTTATTATAATTTGGTAATTAATAGGTACTTTTACATCTTGATCCCAAAGAATTTACCGTAGAGCCAAGTACGCTTCAATCGTTACAACAATTAATTCAGTGGGTAGCAGATTTAGCATTGAATCTTTTGGCGCGTCTTCCAGACCAACGGCTGTTAATGAAATCCGGTGGTGTTAGTATTTTTAATAATTATTAATACTGCCAAACCTCAAATGTCTTTTTGTTATTTAATATATTTATTTCTTGTTTTGTTTAACATTTTAGTATGAGCTTCTGAAGGATCATAAAGCTTTAAATACATTGAGAGAATTACTAGTAATTATACGTATATGGGGTTTACTACGTCCTTCGTGTCTACCAGTTTTCCTTCGTAGCGCCGATAATCTTGATGTATTGGCCTTACTGTTTCGTTTATTATCAAAATTAGTCCAACCAAATGGGGATACTCAAACTCAGCAAATAGACGACGGATTAATAGGTAAGTCTTTTGGGAGTCATTTATAAAAAAAATATTGATGCAATCATACTTATATTAAAACTAAGGTGAATCATTTGTATAACGAGCAGTCGTACGGATTTTATCACAATGCGACGGTTAGTAGGAAGTAAGATAAAGTACCACTTCCTTGTATGGCAAGGAAATTCCAGATCCTTTCATTTAGTATTACTAAACACAGATTCGAGAAGCTGCATTAATAGTCAGATTGTGTTCATCATTAAGTAAAAAGTGCTTTGTCCAATAATATTTACTAAATTTTGCACTTTAATACATTAATTTAAAATGAGTGAAAGCCTTGTTCTGAAACATAAAAATTCTCTGGCTCTAACAGAACACAAGCTACTTCAGAAACAAAGTGAATCAAAAAATTGTTTTCAGCATGTAACCATTCATAAAATCACTGTGTTTTGTATAATAACAGGTTGTATTTTTTTAATTTACTGGTTTGTATTGTGCCCGCTCTTGCTGAATTTAGTTTATCATCATAACAAAATGTCAACTGTTTGGCTTGTTTCATATTGGGTTGTAGCATTTCTTATTTGGCTTTTTCTTATGCTGTGTTTGGTATTAGTTTGGAAATGTATTAATTCTAAACAAACCGATAAGATTAAATCACACTCATATGGCACAAGCAATTCAATGACACCATCATCTTTGGTCAGTGTAAAAAGTGATCCCTCGCAAAATTTAAAATTTACAAGCTTAAAAGAAGACGAATCTACGAGTACCTTAATATCTGATAATATTCAAATAAAAAGTGACACTAAAATAATAAATACAAATAATTCTGATGAATTGGAACAGAGTAAAAGTAAAAAGCATAAAGATCTTCCACCTCTTGTAATACATCGTCGTAAATCGGGTAACATCAAAGACACCGCTAACATAAAGTTGAAAAATAATATTGATGAAGATGACGAGGATGAGGATATGTTAAAATCAGGAAATGATATTTCTAAGTGTCATAGAAACTCGATAAAAGATTATTTGAAGCTAGTAACTATTACGCCGAACGATGAAGTGGATGTCAAATCTCCTAAAGAATCACTTTCGCCGAGAGAATTATTTTTTATCGATCTTATAAAAGCAGCCGAGGAAGCCGATAAAAATAAAGAAGGTGGTAGCGCAAATGTAACAGCGGGGAAACATTTCTTTCCGAGTGATTTCTCACCGACCGACAAGGGTGTTGTTGAAAATGCCAAAAATGAAACAAAATCAGTTGAAATTCCGGCGTCGAGTAGTGGCCATGAATCAACTTATTTTATTGCAAATATAGACAGTCCAAAGTATAAGAAAACAGAAGTGTATTTAGATGTTAATCCAGATCTAGAAACAATTGCACGGCAATCAGTGAATTTAACTGTGAAAGAGCCAATAGTTACACCAAAATATCCTACAGACAATGAAGATGAAAATGATAATGCTAAAGAAAAAGTTGTTATATTTGAAGTATAATTACATATGTTGATTCTAAACTAAAGCTTACATGTAAAACGACAATGAAATAATTAGATAAGAATAATATGTATAAAATAATAAGTTAATTAAATACGTACTACGACAATCACTTTCTTCCAGATGATTGTTGCCTGCTACCGAATCAGATCATGATACCTCAATTGCATCAGGGTAATAGCATAACAGCTATAGCTACCCCTATTCTTTTTTATCAAAGTTTTCCCTTGCAGGTAAAGAAATATATAAATGTTTCTCCAACAATAGTGTAATTGTAACAAATGATAATAATTTGATTCATTGTGTAATCTGATTGTAGCTGGAATATGGTGTAGAATCTGAACAGTTATTATTTGTACCTGAACTTAATTCAGTTGAAGGTTGTATGCATAGTGGACAAATTGTAGATGATATTAGGCATTTATACCTTGGAAAACAACCACTTCTTGTCAAACAATGCACAAGGTACGAAATATAACAATTTTATTTGAATATTATAAATATAGTTTTCTTAAACAGCACAGTGATATAAACCATTAATCCCGAAAGGAAATTATTATAAGACAATATTTTAGATGTGGTGGAAAAGCCCAAGTTCAAAATATGACAAGAACAGCTGCGATTAGAGCATGGGATCAAAGATGGGCAAGAGCTTGTCGTTGCGGTGGTATTTGGCGAATTCATAAAACCTGTCCATAAGTATAATGAACTGGAAGTAGTGTATTGATAAATTTTATATAAAGTGATTATACTTACAATTTTGTATATTACGTACGTGACCAATGATATTAAAAACTTTTATTTAAGATACAATTGAGTTCTTATTTTATGCTCCTTATGAAATGATGAGGACAAGTAAACGAATTTACTAAAATGTATAAATTTTATTGAATTCGTTCAGCTATTTATAACGAGTACAATAAATTTGTATTATTTCTCAACATTGCGTGTTTTATAATTTTATGATGAGCAAATGTATTATGTCAATATTAATATCAGAGTTTCGATTAATAAACAATTCTGGTTGAAAATTACATTTTTATAGGCTATTTATTTCTATTGTATTTAAATCAGGATCTCTCGTAATAAAGAATAGTATACGGATCTTGTTAACTGCTTATTGTATTTGGAAATTTTTAGATTTTGTAAAAAAAAACTTACATAAATACGGAAATGATTTATGTATATGTCAATTGAAGTATTTTCTTTATTATTGCAGATCCTAAATGCACAATATATGGTTCACATACTTCATAAACAAAACATGATCAGAACATTTTTATTTTTGCATTATGCTTGAAAAACATAAGGACTATGGAAAGTATATTTAAAATAACATTTTGTTTTATAATTCATTGTCTGTAAAGAGTACTGGCTGTTAATGACTTTCTCCTTTTGTACCAACCACTCTTTTAAAATCTCCCATATTTGTAGTCGAAATTGGTGAACCTATAATAACCAACTGATCAATTCTTGTTGTTTCATTACCACTTTGATTATCTTTCACAAAGATTTGGAGATTCTGCACATTTTGGAATTTAACAAAGCGCAGAGCAATTGGAGTTCCATCCTCGAGAACCTTTGGTGCCAAGCTGTACATTGATGTAATTATATAAGTAATAAATTATTAAAATGTATTGTTACACCATAAAAAAAAAAGTAAAGAACATTAGATCTTACGTCAAATCTTGGATGCTTGTATTAGAATCTGCCATATCAAAGTCAATTGTTCTAGGCTGATTAATAAATAATTTAATATTTTTTGGTCCCTTATCTTTAGGAGCTTTAATCTTCAGAGAATGAATTTTGACTGCTTGCGTAAATGCAATAGATAATATCAATTGCTCGTCACAGTCACTCTCAAGGTATCCATCGTCTGTGGTCAGACATTGTAGGAAATTATGTTCATCAGATTCGTTTAAACATTCGCATTGTGCCTTGGTAATGAACGTAGATAAGTCCATCTGCAAAAAGTATATTCATAGTTTCCAGAAAACTTCCATTACTTAAGACACTAATACGTTAATTAAAAATAAAAGATCCTTTCATATGTAAAAAATTTATGGGTAAAAACATGCAGAGCAAAATTTACATAAATACAAGTCTTTATTTAAAATGAAAGCATATAAATGCGATACAAACATTTACATTTTAACATGTACATGTCATACATTTAACAATGTGTTGAAACACATATTTGTAAATTGCAACTTTTAATAAGTTTACAATATTACAAATATATGCAATTAATGGAGAAATATTATTTATATTCCATATTTTGATTGGTAATACTTTTTAATATAAATTATAATTATGTGAATATGTATATTGAAAGAAAATTACTACTATTTTTTTTATTGATACTTATTCCAGTAATACAAAACTGCAGCAAGTAATATCATTCCAATCATATGATAATAAGCATTATCACTACTTCGTACATGTCCAGAGACTGGACTCTCAGAGTCTTCCGTATCACCACTGCCATAAAACTGTTGAATTTTAGATTCTAATCCAATTGGATCAGCTCCTTGACACAAGCCCAATTTTGTTTGGTTACGATAAAATATGAATGTAGGCATCGCACTAACACCTTGTACAGCAGCAGTTTCAGTGCATTTATCTACATCAACTTTAAGAAATACTGCATTTGGATATTTAACAGATAGTTGCTCAAATACTGGTGCAATTCTCAGACAAGGACCACACCTGCAGATTGTAGAAATATCAGTATAATTTAGTTTCAATTCTTAATAGAATTTGCATAAAATAAATTCACATTAAATATCAGTTAATATTAAAAATAATTATACAATCAATTAAATGTTACTACATAGTCTAATGTACAATATCTTGTATACTCAGTATCACTAAAAGTAAATGTGATATTGAAATAAGTAAAGTATATTGTACTATAAAGCAATTATGTTTTATAAATGTTTAAACATGAAAATTTTATATTTGGATATAGAAATGGGTCTATTTTTTAAATTTATATAAAGTGATGCATGTAAGAAATGTGGAAATTAATTTCTAGATTCTCGTAACAAATAATATAACCCTACAGGACTTACCAGGTTGCTGTAAAATCTACTACAACCAATTTTGTACCAGCACTCGCCATTTCACCGTAGAATTGGCCATCGTCATTAATTACACGTACTGCACCCATTGTTTATTAAAGTGTATCTAATACAACAACATCAATAAATGAACCACCGTATTGAAATATGAATGACTGGCAGTTTAAGCGCAGCGAATAACCAGGTATATTCGAATCCACTGACGGTCAAAATAGATGTCTAACCTACCTTGACAACCGGAGACTTAACAGATCAAAATGGATGCTTCCGCTTATTTCATGACACTCAATGGCTAGTCTACAATGTTGAAATTTTAACAAGATATACTAAATAATTATCTTTTTCCTTTTCCCATATTATTTAAATATTTATAAGAAAAAAATTACATCCACTTTGTAAACAACATATATTTTACAACTTTCAACATACATTAAGGGTGCCTAAATCAATGTCCGCCGGCACTCTAGTGACACTCCCCTCACAAAAAGTTACTCTCTCCTATCTAGTTTTACCTACTTATATTGAACACTATGGCATAGAACTATTTACATAAGTATACCTACACAGCTTGACAGTTCCTTGAGTAGAGGTAGTGGAGAAACACTGTTTTCGAATTACTCCCCTCACGCTAGTAAGTAAAGGAGCTGTCCGAGACCACAGACGAGGTATAGGATAGACATAACATGCAATATAACATTTTGTCACATTTTTGTATCCCTTACCATTTTCATGTCACGCCTCTGTTATATCGATTAAGGCTGGTTTTGCATGGCAGCGCTATAAGTAATAGTTAAAATATACAAGGTGTAATAAAATTATTATGCAGAAATGATAGGACGTTACAACTCACTAAACTGAGTAAAAAACCATGCAAAATTCAGTAGTTTCCGAGATAAAGGTAGGTTTAGTTAAAAAAAAATGTAAGCCGTTATCAAGATATTAGCATTCAAAGTTACCGGTTATTATTAATAATAATCGTATAGTTTAACAAAAGAAATAAATAATAATGACATTTTAGAAAATAAAGGTATATTTTATTCGCTGTTACTAATTCAGATCGCGTAAAAACTATCGCGTAAATAGTGTTCCAATTTACCACGTAAAAAAGAGGCTCGTATGAAAAAAATCCGCATAAATCGAGGAGCAGGTGTAGTTATTATGAATATACAGAGTACTTAGTGAATTAAAAATGTATAGTTAAACGATTTCTAATAACAAACAGAAAATGACTTTATCTACAAGTAGTAACCGACATTACCGATACATTGGGTACAGCTAAGTGACTGTGGCACCATTATCTGTAGAATACGCAAACTTTGCTTTCTAAAATAATGGGCGTGGCGCCACAATCGGTTTTTGATTCTGTGTTTATACATAAAAAGTAAAAAGTATGATTCTATGACGTCTGTGACATCGTGTATAATTACAGTATATTTGTGTAACAATTAAGTAAATAAATTCGTGTTTTTAAAATATTATATTTCAGAATACAGCAGAATGTGGTATTTAATAAATTCAGCCGGTACAGTTTTTCTTGCGATTAAAAGAACAATTGGAAAATATGCTTATAATATATTAATTAATTAATTTATTTATATTTAGGACAGCGCTTTTATTTGAAATCCAATAAAGAAGTGACATTTGGTAGAAAAAAGAGTGACATCCTCTTGCAAAATGATGAATCTATTAGTAGATTGCATGCTTCTATATGTATTAAGCCCAAAGAAATAGTAAAGGTACTTGTTGAATTTCAACAAGTTGCTTGTTACACATGTCATTTATTTTTTACTTAAATGTTTCATGCATTTAGACTGATGAACCTACATCTACATGCGAATTGAAAGATATGGGTTCAAAATATGGTACATACATTATTCTGAATGAAACAGAAAAGATAGAAGTTACTACGGAAGGATATAAATTAAAGGACAAAGATACAATACGATTTGGTTTGCAGTTTCACACATTTACGTAAAATTTTATATTTAATTTCTTTAATATGCTGAAAATAACATGAGTTTCCAATATTTTTCATTCATTAAATTCATATTTCAGTGTAGCATATATACCAATTATAACAGTTGTGTCATCTATGAACGATACTGATAAAATCAAACTGCAGTGCATATTGGATGAAATTGATGGAATGATTTCTGCTGAATGGACATGTAATTGTACTCATTTAACAGTATCAAAGGCTAATTTAACTGAGAAGGTTTTTATTAATATATTTTTATATACATATTATTACTTGATAGCTTTACAATAAGTTCAAAATAAAAATTTAACAAATCGATTGCAATTTAGGTTACTTGGGCTATGGCTTCTGCAGTACCAATAGTAAATTTAAGTTACTGGGAAGAAACTAAATGCGCTGTTGACAATGGCAAAGAACTCCCAAAACCAATAGACTTTGTTCCACCAATTAAAGAAACGCTAGTTAATAGTGGTAATGCATCGCTCTCTGTAAATGAGAAACGGCAAACATTATTTAAAAATTTAATATTTGTGCACTTCAGTACACGTCAGTTTAAAATGTTTGGAAGAATGATTAACATGGCAGGTAGATAGTAAATAATTAAAGCTGCAATTTTATTTTTACATTGTTTTTAATAAGAAGTATGTTGAAGGTGGTAAATCACTTTTATATTCAAAGAAACCTTTGAGCATTAAAGAGCTCTGTGCACCTAATGTTATTGTGCTACAGTATTCTGACAATGATTCAACACAATCAACTCAGACCATAGTGCCTGAATATGATACAATATGTAAGTTGCTTTTGCACATTTTCATGTGTTTATATCTACATTTTTAAATTTGTAATTCATTTTTTTATATAGACAATGCATTGCGAGCGAGTAAACGTAAAATGATATCTGAAACTGAAATTCCACTTGCGATTTTATACTGTTCTGTAAAAAAACACTGTAATCCGAAATTCAGTTTTACAGAATTTTTGAAAAGATCGCAGTTGAAGTCCGACTCTGCTGAAGTTTTAGCTCTTGATACACAGGATGTAATGTCTGATGTGAGAGTACTTCCAAAAGTTATTTCTAATATTCCAATACATTCAAACTTAAATGTAAAGACTACCGCACAAGAAGCTACAATTATTCCTGAATCATATGATAGTACCTATTCGTCAAGTAATGATATCTCACAGTCACAAGATAGATGGAAAACTATGCCAATAGCAAGTCAGGATACAAAAAATCCTGTTAATAATAACATTTCAATGGAGAAAGAAAATACAAAAAAGGTAAAAGAAATAAAGTATATTCCAGAGACAAATGATTTATCTTTATCGGACGTATCACAAAATGATACACAATGTTCTATACGGAGAACTCCTTCTTTACGACAAAAAGACACGAACTCACAAGAAATTGCTCTAGTAAAAGAGTCAATGATAGCAAATAAAGGATCTCCATCACATGAAGTAATTGATGTAAGCGACGAAGAGGAAGAAGATAATAAATTCAAAGACAAACGACCAAATGAAAAAGAATGCAATAAAATTTCCAATAATATTTTAAGTCAAGAAAAATTGGATAAACTGCTTAGTGCACATAGTTTAGAAGATGAGGATTTAAAAGTAAAAGAAAACAATTCTTCACAAAAAAATTATATACTTACAGTTAGAGTAGACCATAAGAATACACCGAAAGCAATATCGCAAACAGTAGAAAAACACGTTAAAAAACCAACAGAAAGAAATAAACGTTCTGTTGAACTCCAGGATGACGAGGAATTTGTAAAACCTACTAGTAAAAGGTTTTGTTTGGAAAATTCAGTCGTTAAAAGTTCTACGTCACTGTGTTCTGTAAGATTATTAATTCAAATCTTTATAATAAACTATGAGTGTAAACAATTAATGTTTATCTTATACTTTTAGGAGAACCATGATAGGTACACTAGTATGTTAAGTAAGAGTTCCTCATTTCTTCGTGCAAGTCCAAATTTTAAGAAATTTAGAAAGGTATTGTATAAAATATTAAAAGTAGTTCTTTAAAAATCCATTTATCTTATTAAATTTTAATTGTTAACAGGTCAGTAACATAATTCCTCAGCAGAGAATAACATTGAGTGATATGTATGTATGGGACAAGTTCGATCTACAAAATTTGAATGTATCTGAACGGACCTAAAACTACATATTTATTAAGTTTATTTGTATTTAAAACAAATTTTCTTGTACAATACAATATATTTGATAAGCGAACAATGAATAGTTAATAACTACTTTAACACATATATTACATAAGATATTACATCCGTTGGATTTAAGTGTCAGTATTGTAAAATAAATTATTACTTTTTACTTATGTATATTTAAACATCCTATTAATAGTCTAAGTGAAAATTTATAAAATAAAAAATAAATTATAATTATTTAAAAAACAAACAAAAAATCCTAATATTACTGCCTCTAAACGCATAATAGTAACAAGTGACTATGTATATATGTAGATGTATATATCTCATTACACAAAGTACTTGTGCAGATAAGATTTTAATAATATTTCGGTTATGTCTTTCATCAGATTATGATTTAAATTCGTTATAACTGAAGGATAGAGGATAATTTTAAAAAAAAATTATAAAATTTCATTTGCAGAAATCTTCGCATCAATTAATTCGCTACCGGCTGGTATTAATTTATCAATCAATTAACTGGCAAATCATATCGCAAGACGTGTATCGTCGTTACTAATTAGTAGCAGATTCTACTGCGTCATTCATGTATCATTCTTTTCAAACAGTAACACACTGCACTAGAATGCCGTGATATGCCTTCTTTTCTAGTACGAATCAATAATATCTCAAAGTTTCAATCAAAGCTATCTGTCGCGATAAGATCATCTTTTAGTCGATGAATTTACTTCGATCTGTGTTAAGCATCGATTTCACAAGAACATTGCCTTTTTTAATGGATTTTCCAATCGCCGCTTATCATCAGAAGTGATGGAATAGCGATCGTCTCGATCGACTGAATTTTTGAGGGGGATTTGTGTAAACGCCAATAAAACATGCTTACTGATGGATATATATATATATATACCTACGACTTCATATATAAGAATATATAAGAATTGAAGATACAGTGCAGAGCAAGTTCGTTTGGAAGTAATCGTCATCAGCATCATGCGTGTCCTCTTGATCGCGGCGGTCTGCGTCGCGGCTGTTTTCGCCGTCGATGCAGAGGTTTTGCCACCTTTAGAAGGGTATCTATTTCCGTTATTATTTATTCATCAAAATTCAATTGGTCCAACCTTGTCTTCTAATGACAAAATTATTTAAACAGTTCGATCTATTATTGCTACCTCTCTTGAATACCTATGTTTGTAAACTTCAACCCGGAGACTTTATATTAATTTACTGTCATCGAACTTATGATGAGAATATTTTTTACCCTGACATTTGACATTTTTATCTTAATCTTTTTGAATGACAACCGTCATTTTAGGGAAGATTTAGCTCGTATATTTCGAATTTGACGAACATCTCGCCATATCTTTCCTGCGGTCTTACCGTTTCGACTCCGGTAACTTTAGATGAAAACGTAATCTATCTAAATTGACAGGATGCAAAGCCTCTCTATTTCCGTCGGTACACCGGAGCAGCTTACGTTATTGAAAAATTTCGAGGACGTTTCTGGTTTCGATTTTCTCCGGGTAACCGACAGTCTCGTCGACGTGCTGGTGACTGCGGACAAAGTAGAATATTTTAAAACTCTCCTCGACGAAAATGACATCGCTTACACAGTCACGGTCGAAAACATTCGGGACGCAGTCATGGAAGAATACATCAATCAACAAATCGAACGTAGATTGCACACGTTGGTTCAAGCGGACCCAGGGAAACTCTCTTTCACGTATTATCCTAACAATAAAGAAGTACGTAATCAGTTCTTTAAGCAGCTTGGTCTCTATTGAGAACATAATTGTTAGCTTCCTTTTCATTTAATGTATCTCTTCTGAAGAAAAATGTATTATTTCAATTGATTTCATACTAAGATACTTTGGTTTAGAATTTTAATAAAAGAAGGTTAGAAATTGCGTAACTTACTAAAGGAATACTTAACATTAGGTTCACGGAATACATCCATTTAACTCACATTGAATTTTATAAAGATTACAAGAATATGCATCCTAATTGTTTATTTTTAAATCTCCAATTTACAAGATACAAATGGATGAACAATAATTTATCCAGGAACAAAATAAACTGCACAATAAATGTCCGTAGGCCTAGTGTTAATGCACAGTTTTATTGCGTTCTCTATTTTTCAATTTGAAATCCAATGTACATTATTCTTTTAGAGAAATGTTTTCGTTCTCGTAGGGACGATTAAAATTTTACGTTTTAAACGAGTGATTGTTGTACAGAGAATAACTTGTGTTTCTGTTAGGTGAACGACTATCTCAACTACATAGTAAAAAATTATGGTAGCATCGCATCGTTAATTAACATAGGAGCATCCTCCGAAGGACGACAAATGAAAGTTTTGAAACTGTCAACCGGCGGTAAGAATAAGCCCGCCATTTTCATCGATGCCGGCATTCATGCCAGAGAATGGATCGCTCCTGTAACATCGCTCTACATAGTAGATCAATTGTTGGCCAGTCAGAACAGAAATCTTTTGAAAAGCGTCGATTGGTACATCCTTCCAGTTTTGAACCCTGATGGCTATGAGTTCACACACAGTAAATCAGCGGTAATTATGTTTTACACATAATTTATTTATGATCATAAAATTAATTCGTCGTTATTAGTCTTTAAATTAATATCCTTTTACTGAGAGATTTCAATTCCCTAGATGTACCTGTTCAAATTACTAACGATAGAAATGAATTTTTAGAAAGAAACTTTTTAAAAAATGTAGAAAACTTCTGAGATTTTTCAAAGATTTTTAATTCTCTAGATGGTACCTGTTCGAACAAATCACTGATAAATATTAGCAATAAAAGTAACGATTTATGAAGAAACTTCTGAAAAGAATACAAAAATTCTAAAATCGAAATTTTTCAACAAAAAAAGAAATGTTTTTGAACGTTGGTTTCAGAATCGTCTCTGGAGAAAGACAAGGTCCGTAAACAGTGGCTCGTCTTGTCGTGGCGTCGACGGCAACAGAAATTACGACATGGAGTGGATGAGTAAGTTTTTTTGATTTTACATTCGCGCGAGTCCTATCTAACACGGGCGTCACGTAGCACTCGTGTTTATAAAATATCTGAACAACAGAAAAACTGGCTGATAATGTAATCTCGCTGGTTAATCGGCCAATCGATCACTGTTCACGTATTAATTGTCTGCTTGCTCGTTTTTATCATTACAAATCGAACTCGAAAGCGATGAGTGCTTCTATTAAAAAGACAAATTAATATTTCCTCGTCGCGATTACGGTGCATGACAGAGTGATCGCTGATAATTCGCCGACGATTGCGACTGCGTGTCTGCCGATTAATCGGATGACGATCAAAATTGAACAACGTAAATCAGAATGATCGAAATCTCCAATTATATGTATAGAGACAACCTTTGTTTTGAAATCGCGTGGAAATCATTTGGCAGTGATAAAATAATGTTTGATGAACGTGATTTATGAATTGTTTCCGTATAGAGATTGAAGAATCGTACTGATTATCGGAAAGGATGAAATAATTTCGTTTCGAGTGGAAACATTTCGCTAAACAATGCCAAAGAATTTCGAGTTCGTTTAATTTCGCTATTGTTTGATTAATATATATATATATTTCATTCCATTCTGAAATGAATCATTTTAGAAGAAATCATTCATGATGAATATAATGTTCCCAGAATCTTACGAACAAAATTATTCATTCGATTAATCTGCGATTTAAGTACCATAAGGGAGATCGCGAAAATCATTCTTTATTTTCAGAGAACCATGTGATAATTACGTTTACACAGCTTTATCATTATCATTCGATTACAGCGTCGATAGAATTTCTATCAAAGTTATTTGTTTTGAATTGATTTCGATGGGTTCGATCGAAATCGGAATAGCGATCGCTGGAAAGCAATCGAGCTTTTCTGTCGCGGGTAATTGAACGAGAAAGGAGGACACATCGTTAGCCACCGCATCTGCCTCGTATCCCATGAAGAGTGCCGTGTCACGGTTAACTCAACATTGCGCTCTAACTTTTCTTTGGAGAGCAATTGCGCGGCGTTTTCATTGAAGTTATGATTGAGCGTGATAAAAACTTGCTCGTTACCGTACGGTTGTTACTTCTCCGGGTCTCTTCACTCGTGCTTTAACACACACTGACTTTTGAGAACTCCGAGTCATTTGCCGACGTAACGGATGTCGGACGTGATTCCCGGCAACGCGATGACAATTTCGCCTTTCGTTTACGTTGACAATTCCTGCTGGTATTCCGACGGTGATTTATTTCAACCTGGAAGTGTCTAGGTACGCGACGGGTTGGATTCTTGAGTTCAAATGTTATATTTGAACATGTAGATTCTTCGACACAAATTTATAATATATTCAAAATATATTAGTAATCTCAGACATTTCAGTAGCGCTCGTTCAACCATACGTATTCTCGATCTGAATTCTTTTATATTCGAATGAAACTAAATAACTAAATTTACGGAAGTATATAATATATTAATTTTAATGAATCGTCAATTTCATATAACTACAAACAGTACATGTTCATGTATAAATCCCAAAATTGTGGAATAAGAGCTTAATTATTATTAATTTACTAAAAACGTATATTACACTAATTAAATACTTGTGTTATAAATGAAAGAAATGGTAAAATCAGATCGAAGGTAATTTATTTTATTCTCTCATACAAAATAATCTTAATGACCTAAGAATTGATTAAAGATTAAAGAAATTAGTCAGTAGGATTATAATATTTATGTGCACGTTCGAATAACCTTCATCCATTATCATCCAGAAGAATTCTCAGCTCGGAATGTACATAAACAATTATTATTTTATATTTATACACAGAAGTACATATATCTTATCGTAACTTATCTTCGACGATTATACATTCCATCAAATATTTTCTTCAATTTGAAGACACGATTCGAATGAAAAATGAAAACGCTCCCGCAAATGACTGTGTAATTCGAACCAGTTGGAAGGCTGGGAAATTGTCTCGGGAGCAGGCTGGCTGCTCTAATTTTTTTCATTTACGAAATTTGTAGGAAATAAATTCAGGAAATACGATGAACACAGTCGCGTTGCAGTTGCGAGACTCTCTAAATTGAGATCCCTAATTCGACATGCCATTTGAAAGTTGCCTGCCGCGAGAAATTCGCGCGAGCACTTCCCCGTATTAGACTCCCCACGAGAAAATTCGACATGCGCACTAAAAATTTTCATTGTATTATCCCCGGACTGTTTCCCGCCTGGAGGATTAGTATTGTCTTACTCCGAGCTATTTTTATTCCCCTTTATACACTGGGCAAGGACTCGGTGCTTGATAAATTTGTCGAACACGAAATTTATATATACCTCGAAAAGTGTACCTTTTTGTATCCACCAATTTAAAGGTAACAAATTTCCCTCCGCTGAAACATCTGTTCAGTCTATCTTCTTTGCACGTTGAATTATTTACAAATGCATTGTTTGTTGTTGACACAGAATTTTGTATTGATAACGTATTGATATATAAATCGATGTAGATAAAAAGTTCGTAATATATCGTTCACTGATATATTAACCAACGTAGATATTTTGTACACATAAATCGAACTTCTTTGAAATTTATTTGAATAACATTTTTAATGTGGCATTTTTCAATTGAACTTCTTTTCACCTTTTGTTCTGCGCTCGTTATTACTGTGGCGCGAAATGTGCACCTTGTAAATTGAATTTCTCGAAATAGACATCGACTAAATACATTTGCAGGGTAATTGTTTCTTGCTTCACATGAAATTGCGTCGAAAGTAATTTCCGGAAAATTTGAAAACACTTTCGATACATACGAAAATGATCCCAATTTTAAAATATTTTACGCTTATTTTACAAATTTACACGTGACACAAGTATCATACATTTCATTTCTTACTTTTATTTATTATTTAATTTATATTATTACTTCTACTAATTTGTCACATTAAAAGTGAAAGAATGAGATTCTTACTTAAATAAGAAATAAATAAAATGTCTAACATAGAATTTCAATAATGAACAAATAAAAATCAAATTTCTATACAAATGCATCTGTATTGGTGCATCCTCGAATCCAGGCATTTTTCTAAATAATGAGATTCTTACTCAAATAAGTGAATAAATAAACAAAATGTATAACATAGAATTTCAGTGATTCATAAACAAATAGAAATAAAATTTCTCTACAAACGTATCCGCATTAGTGCATTCTCCAATCAATACGTTCAACCGATGAGATTCTTGCTCAAATAAATAAATAAATAATATAGAATTTCAACGATTCGTGAATGAATAAAAATCAAATTTCTGTACGAACAGCGACCGGCGCATCCTCCAATCCATGCAGCGACACTTACGCTGGCCCGAAGCCATTCTCCGAGCCGGAAATGCGAAACATGCGAGATTTCATCGCTGCGCGTAAACAGAATATTAAAGCCTATATCTCGTTCCACTCTTACGGTCAGGTAACTATTAACATTCTTTAAACTGTACATATCGCTTGAATAATTTCCAGGAACCCGGCCATGGAATTTCGTAATTCGCTCGAAGTTCCGAACGGAAATGTAATCTTTTAATTGTCTTGGACGCGGTATCCGAGCGTATCAAGTTTACCGATCTCGTGTGCGAGTCACGCGCCGCCGCGATGGAGGCTTTCACGGCGTAAAGTCGAAAAATTCCTAAGCACGCGGGTAACCGGGGAATTACAAATTCCGTCGTTCCGTGAAAATTACCCGGTATACTCGTACTCTCGAATCAGTTTGCGCGCTGTGTTTTTAACACTTGCTCGGATAATTGTGGTCCATATAATCTTTGTTCCTAGCATTTCGTAATGAAAAATTTTTAAAATGCTATTCTCTATTTTCTCTTTCTCTTTTAGTACATTCTGTATCCTTGGGGTTTCACGTCTAAGGTACCATCCAACGAACCAGAATTGGTGAGCAGGAATTTTTGTTAATGGAACGTAGTCTATTGTAATTTCTATTATACGTTTATTTTACTTTGCTTCATTTATTTCCTTTTCCAGAGGAATCTTGCCAGTAAATCTGCAAACGCCATCGCTAGCTTCCGTAGGACTAAGTACACTTATGGTACCTCTGCTAATCATCTTTGTAAGTACTAGAAACTTTTTAATGAATCGTAAATACAGTATACATTTAATTAGTAAACATATATTTAAATATATAATTTAATAATGTAAATATAAATGATATAATTTCAATTTATTTAATATTACATTTAACAATGAATATACATTTGCTAACTCAAACTTCATCAGTTTATAAGTAATAAGATTCGTTATGCAGTATCTAAAAATTAAATCATGAAGATACCAAGGAACATTCTAGACTTAAGGTTTTAATATTCCTTTTTCACAGTGTCGTACTTCTAGTTTACTTTAGTCGTCCTCATGAAATAATCTTCTCTGCTGATATTCAAGTTTATTAATTCCTTTGATTCGTATTTTTTTACACAATAATTAGATCCCGCTGCTGGAGGTAGCGACGACTGGGCCATGGGCAAAGCCGGCGTGAAATTGTCGTATACCTATGAACTGCCCGGAGGAAATTCAGGATTCCAATTGCCCGCTTCTGAAATCAAACCTGTCGGCGCTGAAACATTCCAGGCTATGAAAGTGATTCACGATTATATTGTGTCGAAATACTCCTCGTAATGCTAATGACGTTATTTCGTCGACTTTGTATAAAAATGAGCTGTACAGAACTATTTAAAAAATAAAAACGAATAATATCAATAAAAAGAATAGGTTTCCATTTTTTCGCATTTTATTACAATAAATAGCGAATAACATTTTCCCCAAAAACTCGGATTACTTCAGTTTTAACTGGTAATATTTTGTAATCCTATATCGAGACAGACATGACATTCAATTTTCTTCTAATTTTACAATTGCATTACATATATAGTACAATTTTAATGTTCCTCAAATGTTCTCAAATAAATAATCAAAACGATATATTTGATTACAATTGAATGAAAAACTGAGAACACTTTGAGCAAAGGAACAATATCAATACTTAAAAGGAAATAGGAAATCAAGTCTAAAAAGCTCTCATTAACACCAACCATAAAGTACATACTCAATCGATTCCACTCGAACTAAACACCAGAATTTCCAATTTATTTATTCAGTATAACCGTAACAAGTGAAATACCTTTAATCCAACATGCACATCTCTCAGCAATACAAAATAATCCCTTGATCCCCACGATCTCCCCTGAAATTCCCGAAATACCAACGGACCATCCACGTCGGAAGGTCCTCGACGAAAGCCGAACACCGCGGCAACGTTTGCTCAAAAGAAAGAAAATCTCCGCGAAAGAACCGCGGTAGCCAGGCTCCCCGCGGACGCTCCTCACCCGTGAAACGAAATACAGCTATTGTTCGGCTCCTCCCGCGTCTGCCCGTCACCGCTGCCGCCGTGCACTTCTAGTTTTTCCTTGGTTTTTAGGTGGAGCGAAAGCGAGAGTGGCTGCGGGGCGGAAGAGGGCCGTGGGGGCCTCGAGGATTTGGTCGGAATGAAGTAGAACACTTAGCACGTAGAGCGCGCCAAGTATCGTGCCCAAGTTCCTTTTCGCTTATACCTATTTCTCGTGCCCGCGTTCGGTCTAATTGGAGAAACAACAGACTCATTACCCGTGGACTCGAGTGCGGACGAGAGCTCATTTGACGGGGGCTGAGGGCACTGGGTCGTAAAATTTTTGTATAACGAGCCACTGCTGCTACCCCGCCGCCGTTGCCGTTGCCGTGCTCGCCGCCTCTATGCGGGGGTCTAAGCATTCCTTGAAACCGTTGACTAAGGTGACAGAGGCCGGCGCGCGCCTTTGGCGAACCCACGCCAAGAAAGCTCCGGTTTATCCCCTTTTATAAGCATCCCCTTGTCCGCGTCGCGCGGCAATTAGCACGACCGGCGCCGCTGTTTTCGAAACGGCTAAACCGTTTTTTTTCGGGATAATAATGGCGAACCGGGGGCGTCGCTCGGAGGAAAAAGCGAGGTTCAAGATGAGGGTCGCGAACGGCAGCTTGAAAGGGGTTCACGTGCACGGAAATATTTCATTTCCGCGCGCAATTTTTTTTGGAGTAATGAGATTATTTGTTGTTTACGTTGGACATCGTGGATTTTGCCTTTGTTTTTGGGGTTTGAATGAGTGTACGAGCTGTTTCAGGATGGAGACTTGAAAATAGTGAAAATAGTTTGAAACGCGCTCTACATAATTCCGGATTCAAGTTTCTATGAATATTTGCTGTTCACGTGACTGTATGTTTTAGCGATTATAAGGTATGTAAGGAAAATGATGAAGGAAAGAAATGAGTTACCAAGATGAGTATCACGAACATAAATATACTCAACTGTTAAAATCAATTTTTCTTATATAAAACGTGATAACCAGTGAAATAAACGAAGCTAATTCAAATGAATAATTTGTCTTCTTATTTAGGAATTTCGAATAATCCTGTTAATTTATAGAATATAAGAACCAAGATTTTTAGTAGCTATTTTCAAAAGAACTTAGTCGCGAGTTTAAAGGGAATGCAATTTTACTGAAAATCGACGAGCGATTCCAACAGTTCGTGATCGGCCGGGGAAAGGATTTTTACAGACGCAGAAATGTAAAAGGTATAGGTACGTTATATTGAAAATTCCATTGAAGAGGAGAGATCAATGATTTAATTACAATCGTTCTAGGGCTGCCGAAATTATCCGTAAATATTGTATTCCGAATTACGCTCGCTCAATTATCGACGGAATCGTACCCATAGGTCCTGCTGTCCCGGACTCGTACAAACACTCACGTCTTCAAGCAGACACTACCGTTTGCATATTAAAAACATACGCGGACACGCGCCGGTTTAAACGACAGTAAACAACGTTTAAACGATAATAAACACGGCCGCGCGTCCGTGTCGCGTTATTAACAATTGGACTGTGTGTACTCGCGCGTTTATAATACGTTGAGAACATTTTAAAATTAAACAACTTCCGTTGCGCATAACAAATTGACTACTGTGTCACCCCCATGATACCAGCTAAACTTCCGGTGAGACATCGAAACCTATTCAAATCGAATGTTCAATTTAGTTTGAATTTAAATATAAATTTAGTTTAGGTCGATCTGAAGAATTTTGTAGCATAGAAATGATTGTTTCATAGGCGTTTTTATAGGACCTCGTAGTCAACTGTTAATAAGAAGCAGTATTCCCTTCCTATAACTATTTTGTTCGGAATTAGTAATTATATATAACTATAGTAAGTTTTTTCTGTCATTTCTGGAGTTTGGTTTGAACCATAAGCAAAACTGAAGCTAAACTCATAAAATGCAGAATTGGGAAGTACTAGAAGGTTTTCACTTTTCAAAATAGCTTCACTTAGTTTCTGAAAAATAACGAATCAAAAATACTTTATCTTGATAATAATTACATTTATTATATGGTACCTTGGAAACCAGGATGTACAGGAAAACTTTTTTTCTCAAATCACCTAAGTAGTTTTGAATCAAGTATTGAATAATATATCGAAGATCAAGTAATCATTAATATCAAACATTAATACATTTTCATAAGAATTTATACTGAAGCTGTTACTAATCTCTTACAACTAATCAACTTCCCAGCTCTGCATCGTACTCTTCAACGAACCCACAGTGTTACAAGGATGGTGATGCGGTTACACATAGGAAGGGAATACCATGTTTATTTAATGTTCAACACAACACAGCGTTTAACAGAGAAAATCAATGTCTATTTGAACGTTTATACAAATTAACCTAGAGAAATGTGAACTCGTAACACGGAACGTGCACATCCGTAGCAGACTCACAAATGTTGCCGCCTCCATTTGATCCAGTTCGATCCGCAATCATGTTCTCAGACCGTCTGACTAGCCATCTCGCCTCGATTACAATAATTATATTATAATGTTACAATAATAGATGCACATAATAATTTACGTAAATTATACATACACGGCTACAATAATAAATACGTTAATGAGATTGTTATACGACGAATCTCGTGTTCCTTACCATCGGGATCCTGTCAACTGGTGCCGCTTATAACATAGAAATATGAAAATCTTTACGGTACTCCTTGCGAGCCGGTTCTTTGCACCTTGAAGCCTCAAACTGTCCTTTCTCAAACAATTTCAAGGCAAGAGTGCTACACGGGTAGCAAACTTCGAGTCCAGCGTTCGAAACACTTATTCATCAGCCCTACGCCCATATTTTGATTCTAATCGTGTCTACTATACATCAACGTTTCAATCGCAGAATCAAAGAATCAGCGCAATTCGTTGCTTCAAGGTGCGCGAACGTCATTGTCAATTCACATTAAGCCACTCATCGTTCCCAACGAAACTCGCACACATTGTCACAGGTGTCTAGCGAAGGGTAGCTGAAAAACTGAGGACCGAGGAATTCGGTGGTGTTCAGAGGTCGCAGAGGAAGGGAAAACGGACGAAGAGTCTCTTCGAATCATCCTTGTCCTTTCTCCCGCGGGTTACCCTGTATACAAGAGAGAAACGCGGTAAAAACCGGCCGAGAACTCGAGATACACGGATATTAGCAGCCCTAGTTCCCCGTTTCTTGCACCGCCTATAATTATCATTGATCTTCGCGAATCGAGTCGAAGCGTTTCTCAAGCGCTCGCTTTGCGAGTATTACGAGCTATTCAATGCGTTGAATTATCGGTTCGCCCAGAGGCGGTAACAGTTCACGACGTTCAATGATAATCTAGTAAAATGAGTTCCGTCACGCTGCGCGTAGGTACTACTGTCCACTGATCGTCACACGCCGCTCTCTCACACTCTCCCTCTCTCTCTCTCTCTCTCTCTTTCTTGATGGCTCGGCCCGCAGCCGACTAACGATTCCTTCAATGAGACGGAAGCAACTGATCGGAATTAATTTATTAAATCGATTTTTCAACGTCACGCCTAGAATCGAATTTGATTTCGTTTCGAGATATCACAAAATAACGTTTCTGCTCTCCCGGGATCAAGAAGCAGTATCAAACTATAA